CCCCCGCCCCTCGTGTCACCGCCCACAGCACCGAGGAAGAGGAGGGGGGTGAAGAAAGTGCTGCTTTGTGAATGACGGGAGCGACGGAGAACAGAAAACTAACTTTACCAAATCATCTTTCCAAACCTGTGATGCGTTTACATCCGGCTGGAAAGTTTGGACCGCTCACCGAGCCATAACCGGACCGAAGAATCACAGTAAGTGTTGCCTTTAAGGACCGTGTGTTTGTGTGTGTGTGTGTTAGAAAGCAGATTGACAGTCCCCCCCCCTTTTTTTTTTTCCTATGCATGCATAGCTGCCTAACCGTGACTGGAATAAATGTCGAAGATAATTCCTGAACTGAATTTTTAATTTAACTTTTCATTAAACAAAACCAGACTGTCGTGCAAACAAATAATAATAAAAAAAATAAATAAAATAACTAAATGCATCATGAATCTGCTCAAACATAGCCACAGTTTAAACTTGTTTTTTTAGACTTTCACTGTAGCCACATCTGAAGCTTTTCAACACTGGATTCAAAGTTACAATCTGGTGCCAGTATGTGTCGCAACATTTCATGACTCATGCAGAAGCMGTGCATTCCCACTGACTGTCACCATGAATAGACTCACAGAAAGACTCATTCATGATGGTATGAGGTCTGGCCTATTAATGTAGTCTGCAAGGGATGATCATACAATTTAGTTCCTGTGTAATTTTTTTATTTAATTTTTTTAATTATTATTTTTAGCAATCTTGAGGACAATTAAGTAGCTAATTTTATTTCTAATAGAAAATGATCTGGATTTCACAAAGTTGGAAAATTGCTCAAATCTAACCTCAAGTGTTAAAAAAAAATAAAAATAAAAACTTATTCCACTATGTCATGTTTTTTTAAACAAAATTGAAGCCAAAATGGGGGGAAAAGCAACATTTTGCTGCTTCTGTAGGATTCAAGATGTTCAGTTCTGATCAAAGGTTTTTGACTATCATCAGCAGTATGACCACCTCCTATATTAGCAGACTTTTGCTAGTCTGGAGCATACAGGTGTGTATTCATATAATGCCAAGGTGGAAAGGCTTATGAAGCAATTTCCAAACAGTGGAAAAGATTATACACAAGTGAACAAAATTTAAAAAGCTGGTATTCCCTACTATGTGGGGACCATTATTGGCATGTGGGAACCAATGGGGACCTAAGCTTAGTCCCCATGTGGGGAAATGCCATTGGTGGGTTAGGGGTAAGGTGTGAATTGAGTTTACGTTAGATTAAGGATCAGGTACAGTATGTACCTGTGAGGTTAGGTTTAGGGTAAGGGGTCAGGGTTAGGCTGTAGAGCTTAATGGAAGTCAATGCAATGTCTCCATAACGACCAGACTAGGGATAGTAGTCAGTCTTCCTATGATTAAATGCCAGTGTAATTCACCCCAAAGGTAGACTGTGCAATACTCTCAGAAATGACAATAAACTAGAAGTCAGCTGATGTGAGTTTTCTTGGTGACAGAGGCAGATCTTTAGAAATCATGGCAGTCAGTATCTATTTGTTATTTTGGCCAGTGTTTATTTTTCTACATCTTCTACCACTTATCGGGTCATGGAGGCCACAGGTCCAGGAGAGAAACCCAGACATCCCTCTTCCCATCAACACTTTCCAGCCAGCTTGTACTGGGGACCCCAAGACATTCCCAGGCCAGAGAGGATACATAATCCTCCCAGCGAGTTCTGGATCATCCCCGGGGGCTCTTACTAGCGGGACGTGCCCAGAATACCTTTAAAGGGAGGCATCTAGGAGGCATCCTAATCAGATGAACCACCCGAACTGACTCCTCTTGATGCAGAGCAGCAGCTCTACCCTGACGGAGCTCCTCACCCTATCTCTAAGGCTGAACCCAGCCACCCTACAAAGGAAGCTTGTTACTGAAGATGAGGCCCTAATCTGTCAATCCAACTCTCGGTCCACTCTACCATCACAAGACATCAAGATAGTTATATTCTTCCACTTGTAGCACAACCCCAAACCCCATGTTTATTTTTCATCTTAAAAAAAATTAAAATAAYTGCTCAATAAGCTGATTTATGATTCATGTACTTTTTTTTCAGAAGCTGGTTTGCTGCGATGCCTTCCAAAATGATGTTTGTTGGTTTGATCTGTGCCATCCATCTCTGCCTGCTGGTGGTGGTCCATGGCGACCCCTGCCTCATCATCAGTGAGATCAACGCTGACAACCCAAGACTGGACACTACAGAGTTTGTGGAGCTGTACCACACCAGTGGACAGCGGGCCTCGCTGGAAGGCTATACCCTTGTGTTCTATAATGGCAATGGAAATATTGCGTACAAGGTTTTGGACCTTAAGGGCCACAGCACAGATGACAGGGGCTTCTTCCTGGTGGGCTCAGTGGAATTGCTGCCCAAGCCAGCCATCCTACTCCCTCCAAACACGGTCCAGAATGGTCCGGATGCCATCGTCCTCTATCACTCGTCGGCCGCCCGCTACAATGAGAAAATGAACGTCACCGCGGTCGGGCTGGTTGACGCGGTTGTTTACATGACTCGCCGCACCGGAGGAGCAGAGTTCTTGGCCGAAATCCTGACCCCCGGGGAGCCCGCCTTTGTCGAAGACGAAGCGGCGCTCGAGGGGGACGAGTCAATTGAGAGRTGCCTGCTCTCTGAAGATCACTGGGGCTTTCAGGTGTCCTCGCCCTCCCCGGGACAGAGGAACAACTGCACCCCGCCTGCCGCTCCGTCAGCCAGTCCTTTCATAAATGAGCTGAAGCTGGGTGGAGGACAGGTGGACGGGTTTGTGGAACTGACTGAGGCCACGGCTGCAGGCCCTCTAGTTCTGGTGGTGTGGGACGGGAAAACAGACAGGGTTAGCGTCAGTCTGGATGTGGACACCTCTAGAAGTGGACTAAACTATGTGACCATAGAGAAGAAATTCATGAAAGGTAAAGCCCTTGCCGCCAAAACGGTTTGTTTCATTTGATCTAAATTTCAACTGAAATAGGAAATGKTCTGTTCCTGTTGCTGTTTTTTCCTCAGGAGATGAGTCTGGTGCTGTGGCTATTTACAGTGGTAAAGCCACACACTTTCCGGTGGGGAGTCCACTGAGCCAGATTCAGCCTCTGGATGCTTTTGTGTTTGCTGGACCAGGAAACAAGCCAAGCGCCAACCTCACCGAGACGCTCATCCCCGGCAGGCTGCCGTACCAGCTCAGTACCAAGCAAGTCACTGAAATTATACTTCACATCTGTTCTTTAAAAGACAAAACAACCCAACATGGATAATATATCATTAGAACATTTCCTCTGTGTTTAACATGGTTTTGGTGACTGTTATATGTGTTTAGTGAGTATTTTTGAGGCCTGTGAGTTGAGCAACACTTAAGGGTGAGAGGAATGGGTCATCTTGTGACTACAGTTCCTCTTTGGTTTATAGTGTCGACACAGCTCTGACTCAAAAACACACCCAACCTGAAACAATGACCATTTTATTTCCTGTGTGAGGCTGTTCTTCTCCTCCAGGGTGTTTTGTGTAAAACTTTCTAATGTTAAAATGCTGAGCATAATCTATATTATAACCAGCATAATCATGACATAAAGGAAACACGTTAYGCTCTTTTGTCACAAGCTGGCATGACATTTGACAAACTAATGGACTCTGTTGAGAYGTCCGGACCAGGGWAACATCCACTTTTCTTGTCTTTATRGAGACTCGAGAAGAYTGACATGTAATTACTCTGTTCTCTAAATATAAAGGTGTGAAAATGTTTTTTTTAATTACTCAGAGAGACTTTGATTTAAAAAAATATTTAGCCGATGATAGCTGGCTGGCTGTAAAAATAACTTGATAAAGACATTACAGTTTTTGRTAGAGTTCTTAATATGACACAATGTTTCAGAACTGGTTTGTGGTTTTAATACACTTGTTCAATCATACATTTTATTTATTTAACCTTTATTTAACCAGGTAGATCTCATTGACATTAAAAATCTTTTTTTTTTTCAAGACAGACCTGGCCAAGAACGGCAGCAGCAAACAAACATTACAAAATTTAAAACTACAAATCTTAAATTACAATCAAATACATCATGATAAATAAAATAAGAACAAGAAGCACCCATAAAAGGCAAGATAGGAGTAAAATAGAGTACAAAATCAATTAAAACATTTACAAACAAATGTCTCATGTACAGGGGCGCCTGCAGGATTTTATCAGAGGGTACGCACAAAACCATCACCGTACCTGACCAACCACAATGCACATCATGAGCGTGCACAAAACTAGCACAAAAACCCAACCCACACAAGCACGGGCATGTGCGTGATGCAAGAGACACATAAAAACAGCGCGTTTGACCCACCCAAAGCCCAACGTTCACAATATGACGCACGCGCACACACACCGGATTTTTTTCACTCTTTTTCTCAGCGACCTGCAAGTTTAGACTAAACTTGACTGGTCAAATTACTAAGTAAAAAAAGTGGCTGCAATTTTTGACTATTTCACACGCCTCCCTGGCTGTGTCTGTCTCTGCCCTCTTTGCAGGAGAGAAAAGAGAAAGGCGGCAGTCGGCAGAGACACACAGTCAGCTGTTTAACCGCAGCAGCGCAGGCCGTCCTGCCCGCTGCCACCAGTGTGTTAAAAAAATCAAAACAGGGCCAATACAAATACAAAGCCACACTAACAGTGATTCACAAGCTGTTTGTCACTCTGTTGACACTTTTTTTATCTCAAACTCAAAGATCACTGACAGATAGAAACCTACAGTATATCAGAAGTGTTTAGGTGTAACTCAGTCCTACAGGCCAGTTCTTATGCTCTTTCTTTGTGACTTGTGTGGACCTATGTTTTTTTGTGTTTTCTAATTTTATTTTTCATCATGACAAATTTAAAATGTAGATTTTTTTTATTAATTTATTTACTTTTGATG